TGTCCTAATCTACAGATATTCCCTCATTCAGGACCCAATGTACCACCATGGTGTTTCTATTTAAGTTGGCAAGCAAAGTTCAGGTTTACTCTGACCCAGACTTGGTGCTGATGCCAATTACCACCACAACATCCTAAAACTACTCATTATAGGACAGTAGGTGGCTGGTGTATATGCATATAACCGGCTAGCTGGCACTGATGAGGGCTATGAACTCTCTAACAGAAAAAAAGTGATAAAAAAGAAATCAAACGATCAAGCCACAATAATGTCAACGTGACATTAAGTAAATATTTTAATGGACTGTGATTACAAAATGGAAATCGCTAAAGTACACAGAAGCTTAAAAATAAGACTTCTTACCTGATCTGAAACACCAACATGTGAAAGACTGGAAATGGGTAGGATGAAAATAATATGGGGCCAAATTGGAGTGCATTACACTCCATGATCCAGCTACCTTGCATTTTAAAACAAAGTCATCAGTATAATATTCGTTACAAACTTGAGTCAAGTACAGGCATCACATATTAAACTCTATTATAAACAAATTTTATAAAGTAAAAGGTCTAAAGAATTGTTACATTATAATTCTTTTATCCCATAGCTTCGTAATAACCCTTTACCATAACAAGAGGAGCTTGTGGTTTCTCAGGTACCTAACACTCTGTATTTTGATTCCAAGATACACACTACTTCCCTTATTTTAACAAGTTTTAAATCAGGATGAGGCTCACAACCACATTTTTGTGGTTAAAAATAATAAAATAATGGTGTACCTTACAAAGATCTTAGATTCAATGAAACATCATATCTGGTTCTTTGAATCCCTAACTATAAAATAACACACACCATGGGCACCACAATTACTAGTGGGCTTTTACGAGGCAAACTCCTGAGCCCAGAATCCCGTGGAGTGAGGATTAAAACTCCTGCATGGTTACGAAACTCCCCAGGCGATCCTCATTCCAGCTTAGATGTGAGAACTTCAGCCCAACAGTACACCAATCCAAACACACAGAAAAGTTTGGGGGTAGTGGTGGGGAGTAAGTCAGATCTAGGCCAAAAAAGCCCAAAGGTAAAATTCACAGGACAAGGGCTTCCCTGGTGGCACAGTGGTTGAGAGTCCGCCTGTCGATGAAGGGGACACAGGTTCATGCCCGGGTCCGGGAAGATCCCACATGCCGCGGAGCGGCTGGGCCTGTGAGCCAGGGCCGCTGAGCCTGTGCGTCCGGGGCCTCTGCTCCGCAACGGGAGAGGCCACAGCAGTGAGAGGCCCGCGTACCGCAAAAAAAAAAAAAAAAAAAATTCACAGGACAAGAATCTTCATCCTTTCCTTCACAATGAATGGAAATCAACCTGACTCTGGGCCAGGTCTCCTGCGAGGGTGAGGAGGGAGAGGTGGGCAGTGAATAAATCTAGAAATAATGTGCTGAGGAGCAGAGCAAAGAGAATTCCTGTTTGCAATGGTTACAACAGAGTGCAAAATTAAAACTGTCTCAATATTTTCTTGCAGTTTCCTCTCTACCAAAGCAGAATTTTGCTTAAAAAGTCATAATCCAGTTGAAGAAATGAAATGGGGATCAGATATCTGTAACTGACAGTGCAAACATACCAAAAACAGAAAACAAGACAAAATTTTGTTCTGTCTGCTCCTTCAGAGCTCCACAACTGTCGATTAAACAGCTGTAATGTAACCTACTTTAATGCTACACTATACCATCCAAGAGGAGAAAGAAAGATGGATGAATGGGTAGATGGAAAGAAAGGGAGGGAGAAACAGACATTAAGTACAACAGCAAAAATAAAACTACATGTTAACTATAAGAAGTTGAACATAAGCAGGATAAAGAAGTGTCTAGTTCTCAAATCGCTACAAAATGAGAAGAGAGAAAGGCACAAATTTACAGGAGAGTATAACTAGTAAACTATCTTCACCTCTTCATGTAACTATAATATTTTACATTATATCAGATGGGATGTTACAGGTTCCTATTCTGAATGTTTTAGAATTCCCCTATACATTCACTTCATTTATACGGTCTTTAAGGAGTCTGCAGAATTTCACTGCACCAGGGCAGACATAATTCTGTCAGTCAAACTTTTTATGTGAAGAAATGGAGGAGCAGAGTGGCTCCATCTGCCCAAGGACCCTGGAGATGCAAGTTAGAAGCCATTTGCAAAGAACTGGTAGTAAGAAGATTCTAGTGTAAAACTTTCTGAACCAATTAAAAAATTCATGTTTTGGTTGACCACAGGTCCTTCAATACACATTTAATGATCACCTAACTGCAGATGCTGAATGGTATGGAGAGTCAAGTAGTACACCTGATAACCATGATACTATCTAAACAAGCCATGCAGAACTTATGATGAAAATTAATGCAGACTCATAGCTACAGACGTCCACATAACTTTTTCTCACTGGCACACAAAAACCCACCAGGGTCCATCAATGGATGAATGACTAAACAAAATGTAATATGTGTCTATACATGGAATATCATTCAGCCATAAAAGGGAACAAAGTACTGATACAGGCTACAACATGAATGAACCTCTAAAACATAATGCTAAGTAAAAGAAGCTAGACACAAAAGATCACCTATTTTGTGACTCCATTTACATGGAATATTCAGAATAGACAAATCTGTAGACAGAGAAAGCGGACTAGTGGTTGCCAAAGGTTGGGGAATGGTGAGTAACTGCTTAACGAACATGAGGTTCCCTTTTAGGGTGATGAAAATGTTGCAGAACTAAACAGAAGTGGTGACTGCACAATACTATGAATGCACTAAATGTCACTGAATTGTACACTTAAAATGGTAAATTTTATGTTATGTGGATTAAATTTAGTTTTTAAAGGAAATTTTAAAACTCACCAGAGACCAGAAAAATAATGAACAGATGAAAATTAATTAGATTATAAATAAGGCAGATATAAGTAATAAAATAGCTCGAATCAAACGAACAGGCTGATGAAGGAGACAATGAAAGAATACTGATGGGGTAAACTGTGGAAATTTAGAGGCAGTGGAATACAATTTCCTCCTCTGAGAGAACATCAGCTGGCTCTATTTTAGGAGCAGAATAAAATTCACAAAACCTTTTAAAGTTCCATAAGATGTTATGGAAAAACCAGAATGAACTTTTTGGCCAACCCACTAGCTTTGTGAAGGCCCAGGCTGCCTTATTCACAGTATCCACCTTACCTATAATTACTGGCACATATAGGCACTCTCATATGTCTAAATGAATGTAAAAATTGTTGAATACTGAGACTGCCCATTTAAGACCTAAAATATGTGGTAAAAAAAAAAAAATAACATTCTTATGATTCCCCACAGGGACTACTTTTCACCAATAACAGTCTCTTTGTCCTTTGACCCTCTCTCGTGACTTTTCCCTTTTTAATGTATCTTCTTTAATTATGAAAAGATTAGTTAGTAATTCTGTTTTAATTGTAACACATATTAAGTTTATTTAAAAAGTCACTTTAACCCAGTGGTGCTCAGTCTTATTTTGACTCCCTTTTAAACAGAAGCCCCCTCCATTGGGGATTTGGGGGCGGGGCGAGGGGCAGAGGGGGCTGACTGCGTCCTTTTTAAAAACCCTCATTTATGGGTGATTCTGAGAGATCCCCAGGTTGAGAATCACTGCATGAAACTCGTTTTATTTCTTACTATCAAGAAATGCTAGTCTTTAATGAGCTGAGAAAACATTACACAGAATCTGTGAAACAAAGCTTCTCACACCTGTATAACACTGGGGAAAAAAAAAACCCTGTAATTTAATTAGTAAACTGCCAGAGAACTCAAGAGACTGGCAGCCTTTAAAAAGAGATAGTTAATGATATGACCAACCCGGATGCTGATTCTGCCAATCTCTTGCAGAATGGCATGAGTTAGTAACTTGTATGTTCTAAATTAAATGGAGATCCCTTTGTACTCAATGATGCACTATATGAATAACATTAAGGTTTCCCTTCATGTAAAATTGTAAAATGTGACAGCATACCATTAGTCCTGAAAGTGGTTAAGAGTTCAAGGGGTCTGGGATCTACTGTCAGCATCAACCTCTACGTAACGTCTATGGGAGTTCATAATTTCTCAGTAAAATTGGGAAAGATACACAAACGGACCTACTCTATGGGTTGTAAGAAATAAATGTGCATATGAAAGCACTTGACACAGTGCCTAGTAAGTAATCTAATATCTAGGATCACTGTATTCATACAGAAACAAAGAAAAGGTTCTGTCAATTAAATAGTTTTGTATGACACGAAATTTTAAATAGCAAAAGGTAGAGGCTGATGAAAACACAAAAAATTACAGCTGGAGATCTTAATCTCAACGTCAGTCCAACACTCATTATTCAGATCTAGGGTCACAAATCGTAACATATGGTAGAAACTGTGAGGACAGCGGCAAACAAATGGGGAAAAAACAAAAAGAAAAAAAGGAACGAACAGCACATCCATCAATGACACCGAATGCCAATGGGCCGACATAGGTTTTAAAAATAAAAAGTACTTCCAACTCAGAAGACACTAAAACTTTACAAGTGAGCCAAGACCGCCCTCCTCAGAGTTCAAATGCAACCTACAACTCCATCCCCGCCTCTTTAGAGCACTCGGCCCCCATTTCCAACACGAGCGGGAGCCCCAGAGCCGGACGCGCGCCCCAGGTGCCAGTCACAGGCCGGAGCGCCAGGTGCAGTGGCCGCCCCGCCCTCCGCGGACTGGCCGCCGTATTGGGGATGCCCGCGCGGGGGCGGCGGCCCGGACCCCCGGCCAACTACGCTCTGGTGCCCTGGTCCTGCCGCGCCCTGCCCTCGGCGGGACGCGCCACGACGACCTGAGCACGCCCGGGCACACCCCGGGCCGGCGGTCGCGGGGTGAGCAGAGGAGGAAGGTGAAGGTGGGTGCCCGGCTGCCCCCAGCCTCCCTCCATCCTCCCCGCCCTCGACCGCGGCTCCGTCCGCCTCCCCGTGCGTCTCACCGGCCTTCCGCCCGCCTCTCCGCCGCGCGTGCCTGCTTTTCGGCCTCCCTGCGGTCAGTCTTGCCGGAGGTCGACGGGAGCCACCGCCGCCTCCCGCTCGCTCCTCCGCTTCCTCCCGGGTTCCTACGGCTTCCCCTCACCCCCGCGAGTGGCCAAGAGGAAGCCAGCTAGCCGCTGGGCCGCCTCCCTCGCTTCCCCGCCGCGACCAATCCGGCTGCTGATTTAAACAGGACTTTCATGCTTGGGATTTACTGGCCTCTACGGTCGCCCCGCAGGCCGGAGGGAAGGGCCGTAGAGCTGAGAGGGAGGGCCCTGCGGCCCCGCCCCCCGCCTGCGCTGCGCTTTCGGGACCTGCCACGTGGGAGCCGTAGGGGCGGCGGCAGGCTGTACCCCAGAAGAGGGCAGATAGGTATCGCCTCTTCCTACCACACGCCACCTTGACCCACACTTCCATAATCTCCACCTTAAAGGAAGAAATTTTAAAGTAATCAGTCCCATTCTATAAGTCCACCAGCTAGGGTATACGAGACGGTCATATCAACGTAAGGTCGTAGGCGAGTTCCTTCTGACTCCTTAAAAGCTAACTAACCTACGGTGAAAATACTACCTGTCGGAGCGCTGGAACGTTGGTAACCCCAAATGTCTGACCCAAGGAGAAAGGTAGTGCTTGTATTTTGCACCTCACTTTTGTTTCATTTATTTAGGAACCCGACAGTTAGAAATGTTTTTCTCCTGTACACACCTTTTCCCACGATTGTGCTGTTAATTGAGAAGTCAATCCAAGTCCCACTATCCAAAACTTGAGAACACAAAATAGTTTCATAATTCCGATACATATTCCAGAATAATTAATAACTATAACTCTCATCATTAACTATTATTAGGTAGAATGTCGGAACAATACATGGTTGTAGAAATTAAATTGCATTAAAGAAATAATAGGGTCTAACCATAGTTAGTCTTCTACCAAGTCTTAACTTTCCTGCAAAAATGTAAAACACAAAACTTAAGTAATAGCTATGAATTTGGAAGTTTGTGTTCCATGGTAGGAGGAGGAAGCAATAAATGCATTCTGAGAGCCTTATTTTGCTTGGACCTTGATGGGCCTTTGGGAATGTGTTCTCATTTAATGCTCACAACTCAACCGAAGTCAATATGATCTGTATTTTGCTTTAACAAATCAAAAAACCAAGACTCCAAAGTTGAGTTTAAATCACTTGTTCAAACATATAAGGTAGTAAGTTGTGAAGTTGGAATTCCAGCCTAGTGCATCTAGCTCCAAACAAACAAGGCACTTTGTTTCTTATGATACCAAAATACAACATGTACTGTCACCATGCCTTCCCTAGTTCCTCAGGTCCCACTGAAAGAATTTAGAAGCCTCTTGATTAGGGAGGTCAGGCAATATTTGTGAAAAAAGTTTTTTGCTCCATAACCAAATTGGCCTGTATGAAAATGACATATGCTATATTCTTATAGCACCACACTTGAAACAATTTCTGGACTGAAAGTGTGTTGAATATCCAATGACCATAATATGTAACTTAGAACCCTTCAGTAGGTAATGAAATTAATAATAGGGGTCACAACCAGCATTTTGTTGTTGATTCACTGAAATAGAATAGAACAAAAAACATCAGAGTTCACAGCACAACCTGAGGATAAGTATTGTTTCATGGAACATTTGTACAGTGTTAAGTGTGGTTGAATAGGTTACAGTGTCCTGGCCTACAATGTAAATTATATTTTTTCATAGGGATTGCAATGTTTAAAAGTTGGTAAATCACTTCTTTAGAGCAGCTGTTAAGCAACCAGTTTTTTCACCTACCTTTTTACTTGGCAAGAGGTGGGGAGGCAGGAGAAATAGTCAGGATTAGTGATTGAGTTTAATAAGACTACAGAAAACTTTGCAGCTCCAAGAGGCTTAATCCAAAGAAGTGTTGCTATGTTACATAATAGGTAATGATAATTTATATTTTTAAAGCTGATATTTATTATTATTTGTTTTGCGCCAGACTCTTTCCTAAGCACTTTATATATATTTACTCATATAATCCTCACAATAATCCTATAAATACAGAGAAGAAAGGTGCATGACAGAAAGAGAAAGTTGTCCAGGATCCTGCTGCTAGTATGTGGCAGAGCCAAGATTCAAACCCGCATGCCCAAAATTCAAACCTCAAGGCTCACTCTTAAACCCACATGCCCAAAATTCAAACCTCAAAGCTCACTTAAAAAGAAAATTAATTCTTTCTTCAATGGGTACAAGGTTTTATATAAAACTATAATTTATACTATACTATTTCCCACATAAAGATTATATAATATTGCTAAAGGTTAAACTTGATGAAAAGCCTCAGAATATTAATTGGACCCATTCTCAAGCAGAATATTTCATTTGGCATCAGTTATCTGTATATGGAGTAGTAGACTGCCTGCAAATACAGCCACCAACATTCCTCCCATTCCTGTAAATTCATGCCACTTTTACGTAGAGTCTGTGTCCCTCCTCTGCAAACTAGGCTGGCCCTGGGACTTGTTTTGACCCACAGCATGCAGCTAAAGTGCTGCTGTGTAACTTCTGGGCCTTGAAGCTTCCATTTTCTTAGGATCCAGTCATCACATAAAGAAACTCAGACCAGGCTACTGAACGAGAAGAAACTACGTAGAGAGAAAGAGAGGCCAACGCAGAGCAACTAAGCCCGTGCACCACAACTACTGAGCCTGCGCTCTAGAGCCTGTGAGCCACAACTACTGAGCCCGTGAGCCACAACTACTGAAGCCCACACGCCTAGAGCCCATGCTCCGCAACAAGAGAAGCGACTGCAACGAGAAGCCCACACACCACAACGAAGAGTAGTCCCCGCTCACTGCAACTAAAGAAAGCCCACACACAGCAACGAAGACCCAACACAGCCAAAAAAATAATAAAAATAAAATTAAAAAACAACAACAACAAAAGAAGCATTAGTGGAGGAGAGGCCTAGTTAGATCCAAACCATCCAGCCACGCAGAGTCAGTAGATGAGTGAAGTCATCTGTGTAGTCCAGACCCAGCTAAGCTCCTTGCTGAGTGCACCACATGAGTGACCCCAGACAGTACCACATGGGAACCAGCCAGCCCACAGAATCTTGAGAAATCATTGTTTTTGTTTCTTTTAATTTATAATTTTTTAAATTTACTTTATTTTTGGCTGCGTTGTGTCTTCGTTGCTGCACACAGGCTTTCTCTAGTTGCGGCGAGCGGGGGCTCCTCTTCGTTTCGGTGTGCAGGCTTCTCATTGCCATGGCTTCTCTTGTTACAAAGCATGGGCTCTAGGTGCGCGAGCTTCAGTAGTTGTGGCTTGCGGGCTCTAGAGTGCAGGCTCAGTAGTTGTGGTGCACGGGCTTAGTTGCTCCGTGGCATGTGGGATCTTCCCGGACCAGGGCTCGAACCCGTGTCCCCTGCCTTGGCAGGCAGATTCTTAACCACTGCGCCACCAGGGAAGCCCAAGAAATCATTGTTTGTTGCTGTTTTCAACTGCTAAGTTTTTTGGTAGTTTTTTTATGTAGTGATAAGTTACTGAAACATGGAGGAGAAGGTTTGTAAAAAGACAAAGTAAAAATAAATAAACAAATACATACATACATACATGCATAAATGCAAGCTGACCAGTCCTAGGAGTGGGATGACATTAAAATATTAAAGCATGCTTATACTGGATTGTAAAGTCAAACTTGTAGAGAGATAGCCAGGAACTCTCCTAGCTTTTAAAGAATATCGGGGGAGGGAAGAAACAGAGGTAGACTAATAAAAACAAGAGTTAAAGTGTCAAATACGATACCTACAGTAAGTTAAATACCACACCCAGGTGTGGCTTAAAAACTGTTGTTCAGAATGTTTATAGAAGTGTGCATTCAGGACTCTCAAACTTCCTCCAGCCTATAGGTATAAGACATGGGACACCAGTGTTACCCTCTCATCCTACCAACTCCTTTCCTGCCAAGCTAAACATGTCATCAGTTGAGCCAAGCTTAATCCTAGTTGTCTCTGTAAAGACTCCAAATTTCCTGACTTCTCTTTCTCACAGCCTGTGTTGAATGAGTCAGATGGACTTTTGCCTAAATGCCTCACCCTAAACTCCCCTCCTTTCCTTTCCTTAGATACATTTACCATTTTAACATAAAATTTTACCATTTTAACTGTTTTTAAGTGTACAGTCTGGTGATGTTAAGTACATTCACACTGTTGTGCAATCAGCACTACCTCCCGCCTCCAGAACTCTTTGCATCTCGAAGAAATGAAACTCTGGACCCATTAAGCAATAACTCCTCATCCTCCTGTCTCTCCAATCCACTGCAGCCCTTCTGCATTCCAGTTCTATGAGCTTGACTACTCTAGATACCTCAGATAAGCAAAATAGTATCGTTTAAAAAACTAGCTAAGGGCTTCCCTGGTGGAGCAGTGGTTGAGAGTCCGCCTGCCGATGCAGGGAACACGGGTTCGTGCCCCAGTCCAGGAAGATCCCACATAAGGTGGAGCGGCTGGGCCTGTGAGCCATGGCCGCTGGGCCTGCGCGTCCAGAGCCTGTGCTCCGCAACAGGAGAGGCCACAACAGTGAGAGGCCCGCATACCGCTAAAAAAACCCCAAAAAACTAGCAAGCCCACAGATTTCATGACACTGTATTTGGTCCATAAGTAACACAGTCTGTACAAAATAAGTGGTTTAATTTACCATGAAACATATGTAAGATACAATGAAATCATTATAACAAATGTATTTTTACATAAAGAAGTACTCTAGCTTTCCATCTATTACTGCTTTTCTAGCAACATACAAGAAAATTATAGAGACCATAAAATTGTGGATTTTTTTTAATGATATCTTTTTGCTACTCCCTAGGAAATTCTGGTTTGGATTAGATCTTTTAATAGATCTTTCAGTGTGGGAAAATTTGGCATTTTTATCTTGGTTATAAATCATATTAAATAATATACTGAATATGGTAACCCACATCTAAAATATGTATTGTAATCATGACTGCAAAGAAACTTCCCTTTCCCTGAAAGTATGTACGAGTGTGTATTATAAACAATTATTAAGATTACTAGCGGTTTCTTCAGAAGAATAGTTTATTATTCTGTTTTATAAAACATTACTGGCTAGAAAA